GACTCATGGTTTCCTGTTTTTTTCAATGAGCACTAGTTACTATAGTTATTTATTTTGAAGCTCAAACTGTTAGTGGGATTTGTTTGTTCAGTTGGAGCACTCTCCAGCTGACATCTTTGTTCTTTTGACATGTCCCCATCAGTCTTTGAATATCTCCTCCCTTTCAATACAACATGCTTTTCTAGGCTTGTCTTGTACTTTCCCTGGTTTAGCTCTGGAATTAGTCATTTCCTCAAGGAGTCCTGGTTCCTTTTAGTAGAGAATAGGTTTAGAAGCCAAGATGTGGGCACTAGGTGGGCTCACTGCTATTGAAATGGTGGTGTTCTCAAACCTTCTCAGTGAGCAAAAAAGCTAGAATATTTATGTATGGATGTGTGTGTAAATATATGCACACACATATTATATGCACATTTATACTGTATTTCTATCCATATATTTAAAAACTATAAGTTCACATTGATATATCTAATTCCAGTCCAACACTGTAGAATTCGTTCTAATTTTTTCCCTTTCCATGTTTGTAACTCCCTTTTCCAACAATGAGAGACCTAGCTGCCATTAGCCTTAACATATTAATATTTATTATTTGATCACTCTGCACACATGCCCCTCACTTCATTGGGGTCCTGATATCCCATGCAGCCTTTCTAACTTGTAGATGTCCTCCCGCTGTGGGTATCCTCGTGACCCTCAGAGCATGGGCTCTGACATCAGAGCAGCTCGCCCCACATTGAATGCTCCCATCGCCCTACCTAAGCTCTGAGTTCCTGCTGGAGTTTGAACACAAAGTCCAGGACTTCCTCTTACTCCACAGAGTTGCCTTCTTCACCCCACTTGGGTTTTAACACCACACTCCAGGCCACCCTCACGCTGGACACCCTACCCATCCTGCTCAGGCTCTGGCTTCCTGTGTCAGGCCACCTGTGTGTGCAGACGCACACCTTACCCTGGCCATGCTCTGACATCCTTCACCAAGTACCCCTCTGTGTGGCCGCCCTCTTCACCCTACCTGGGCTTTCACAACCACACCATTCACCCGGCTCCATGGCTCTGATCCTTCTCACTCTCTGACTCCGCCATTGGGTTGCTCCCGTCTCCTCAGTATAGACACACTCCTCCTCCTGTTCGGGCTCTGTGGCCCCAGGCCAGGCTGCTCCTCCGTGGGAACCTCCTCAATCTGCTGAGGCTCTGACTCCCCGCACTGGGCCTTACTCACCCTGCTTGGGCTGCAGTACGCTGTGTAGGACTGCCCCATGTGCGCATGTCCCCTTTACCCTGCTTCAGTTCTGACACCTCACGTCTGGCTACTCCCTGAAATGAAGGCCCTTCTCACCCCCCTTGGTTCTGACACTGTGTGCATGGCCACCTCTACCCCCATATGGACACGGACACCTTTTCATCTCACTTGGGCCCCAAAATAGCACAGCAGGCTTCCCGAACAGATGGACATGTTCCCCTTCCCACTAGGCTCGACATGTGGCTCCAAACCACTACCGCTTCCTTCGCCACCGTCAGTGCAGACCTCTGCCTTCCTCTGTCCTGCTCAATGGCTTTAGGGCCGAAATTTTCAGAGAGGGAAGAACAAAGGGAAAACTTGCTGTGTTTTTAATGTCTGTAGGGTTTGAAATGATGTCCTCTTTTTATTCCTGATATTAATAATTTATGTCATCTCTCTTTTCCTTCGTGAGTAGTCTCTTCTAACAGCTTATCAATTTTATTAGTGTTTTCAATGAATTTTACTTTGGTTTCCTAATGCTTTCTGTCATAGGCATGTTTTTATTTAATTTCTGATTTTTATTATTTCATCCCTCCTAGTTTCTTTGGCTTTAATTTGCTTCTTTTTTCTCTAACTTGTTGAAGTGGGTGCTTAGATCATTGTTTTTCAGCCTTACTCTTTGCCTCGCAGTATTTAGACCTATAAATTTCCCCTTAAGCGTAGCTTTAGCCGCTTTCTACAAGTACTTCTGTGAATTATTTTTATCATCATTCTCTTCAATATATTTCTAATTTATATTGTGATTTCTTCTTTGATCCATGGGTTATTTAGAAGTATATTTTAATTTCTAGTTATTTTTGTCTAGATTTCTATAGATTTTCTAGTTATATTTTTGTTTCTGATCTCCAGGTTAATTCCACAGTGGTCAGAAAACATTCTATTTATGCTTCCAATTTTGTGAAATGTGTTAAGCCTTAATTTATTATCCAGCATATAATCAATTTTGGCAAATTTCCACAGGTACTTTGAAAGAAAAGTGAATTCTGCAATTGTTGAATATTCACCATATT